TTAAGAAACCATCTTGTGCTTTGGCAGAGCATGTAATAGACAAAGACCATATTATGGATTTTGATAATATTAAAATTTTATGTAATGAAAGTAATAAATTTAAAAGAACTTTTTTTGAAATGGTTTGTATTAGCAAAAGTGATAATAATTTAAACAAAAGGTCAGAAATTCAAAATTTAAGCAAAATTTATAATTATATAATTTCTATTTAATTTATGCAGTCAGTAAAATATAACATTTTGAATTTTCCATATATTTGTTACATTTTTTCGGGCATCTATCAATGGTGAATAAATCTTCTTCTTTTTTGTTACTAAACAAAGAAGAATTTTTTAAACAAAATTTTATTTTTGACAATATGTCAAAAATAAAAATTTTTAAGTTAGTATTTATGACATTTAGGTTGGTTGTAGCTATTCTATTTTTGTTTATAAATTCAATTTTTTTTCTTAAGAAACTTCATCTAAATTTTTCAGAGAAACATTTATTAGAATAAGACATTTTTTTTTAAATTTTTTTTGTATTTAATATGTAAGCAGTAGTTTTATATAAAAAACTAATTTTATTTGGTGAGTTAACAAAAAATTTTTTATTTCAAGTTCAACTTTGTAAGACATTTTGTATTTTTTAGAAGCTCTTGATAAAAATTGTAATCACAATTAAAAGCTCGAGTAAAAAATAGTCAACAAATAGCCCTTTTATTGACTCTAACCCATCAAAAACAGGGTTATATATATATATATATATATATATATATATATATATCTGTGGTGTTTGGGAGAAACATGATAACTCCAAAATAGCGAAAATTTTGTTAAGTCCTGCACTGCGTCTTGTTTTTGATCTATTTTCGTTTGATCTGACTATGGTATGTTTATCACGTCTAGAAAATGAGCCACGGCTTGGTATAATATTGATAAGTCCCTATTATTCAAATTTTGTTTGGTATAGTCCTGTTTAAATATTATATCATGTACCCGAAAACAAAACTAATCAATAACGTTTTGGTTCATATCTGATAATTGGTACTTATCATGTCTGGATCAAATAATATGCACATTCGTTTGGTAAAACATTTTGGTCTATATGTGATAATTGGTACTTATCATAGTTATATCAAATAATATGCAAATTATTTCGGTAATTTTATGCTATGTCCCACTTAACATCTTTGATTCAAATAAATATTATATTTAACTGGCATTTTCTGTAAGTTTTTTTATGTAAGTGGCCAATAATATGAATATATCAAACTTTTCTTTTCGTTGTTTTGTACTTATCATAATTATTCATGAGCATTTGGTCGTATTCACGAACGTGTCGATTGCATTGTGTTAGTGTTAAGGTCTATCGATGACTAGTTAGTTACACTTTGTCAGTAAGTCAGTATTAAAGTCAGTTTGTCTAAATCTTTCGAATGACGCAGTAAATATGATCGAATAATTTGGTAAACATGGCTTATAATACAAGTTTTCGTATACAAACATAATTGAGATATATTTATTAGAAAATGAACAGTCGTCTTCTAATAATGTAAGTATTAAGTGTGATAGTGTAGAACTGACTGATGTTGATGATGTGAAACCAGCACTATCTTCACCAGTAAATCTTAAAGAAAATACTCATCTGCTGAATGTATTAGCTTCTGAAGTAACTTCTAGTGATAATTTGAGTTCTGGATTTAGCAATTTGTGAGAACCATCAGATTCTAAACGTGAACATGGAAAAGCTGATTCCGAAAACCATCAAAACAAGTTAGATGATCACTTTCCTTTGGCTCAAATAAGTATAAAAAAAGGAAGAAAGGGCCAGGGTCCAATGCAACAGACATTTAGAAAAGGTCGTTCTGATAAAAAAGAAAAGGTGAGGAATACATTATTGCTAAAGGTAAGAGCATTTAAGCTCAAGTTTCAATACCCGTGTTTACAAACTTTTAAGCAAAATGTCACGAAAAGACTGCCTCTGTTGATCTAAAGCAAATTTTTGGAGACTACAGAAACTTGTCAACTATGGATACACAGAAACGTTATTTGGCTAGTTTAATAACAGTAAAACCTAAAGAAAGAACACGGCGTGGTAACTCAGTCAAAAATAGGTAATTTACAGTTCTTTATAAATTGGAGAATATGGATGGTAATATATGTAAATGTTGCTTTTTGAAAGTATTTGGCGAATTCAGAGGTTTCTTAGATGACGTTGTTAAAAAAAAAGAAAGCATCTTCCACTTCTATCTCAGTTTAAGAAGCCATCTAATGACACTTGCAAAACCTGTGATTTATTGTTCCTGAAGATAAAAAGCTGTGCCTCCGAAGAAGAAAAACAAAGATTAGAAAATGAAAGCCAACAATACCAGAGTAATGCCTCCTTTCATTATACAACAAAACAATGCGACAAAGAAGAAAGTATGCGGAGCGTAGACAAGCTTGTAGTAGTTGCAATTGATTTGCAGAAGTATTTGGCTATACCTAATTTGACATCTTTGGCTTTCTATTAAAGATATATTTCTATTATGAACTTTTAATTTGACGATCCGCAATATCGCCACAAAACGGACATCATGTTATATGTGGCATGAAAGTGTAGCTCAACGAGGAGCTGATGAGATCGCATCTTGCTTATTTCAGTTTATTAGAGACTTGCCAGAACAGGTAGAAAAAGTAGTCCTTTATTCTGATACGTGCCCCAGTCAAAACCGAAATAATATATTACCGATTATGTTTTTAAAAGCACTTGAAGGAAAGGAAACTCTAAAAGAAATTCATCATAAGTTCCTAGTTCCTGACCATACTCATTTAGAATGTGATACAGATCATGCTACCTTAAAGAGATTTGTGAAAAAAGAAACGCCACAATTTCAGTTCCACAGGACTGAGTATCAGTAATTAAAATGACGAGCCCTCATTTTGAAGTAAAATTTATGAAACAAACTGACTTTTTCAGATTTGCCAAACTTCTAACAACGCATTTTATAAAAAGAAATGTTGATAAAGATAAAAATTCTTTTGTTTGGAACATCGTATTTGGGCTACATTACAAAAAGGATAGTTATATAGGCTTCAAATACACATTAGATCCCAACGAACCGTTTCGTTGAATGTCCATGCTAAGAAGAGGCAGGTCAACTTCTATGTCTAATATTCAGATACTTCCAGCTTATAGTGATCATCTACCCATAGATTATTTGAAATATAAAGATATTCTCGACCTACTACCCTTTATAGATCCAATCTATCATGGATTTTACCATTCGCTTAAACACACTCAAATCAGTACCACACAATATACAAGCGACAGTGATGAAAATTTCGACGCTTAAGTTTTAATTAGGTGCAAATAAAGCCATATATTTCTACAGCACTGTTTTCCAATACAAAGAAATTGACCAATAATAGTTTAAGTTCTTTCATCTTATCCGTTATCTCCATTAAAATACTTTTTAAATCTTTATATTTTTGATACAAATATGATATGTGCCATTATATCAAAAACAGAAATCTTAAAACATATTTTGTTTGTTACATCTGTTTTAGCACTTAATAAAGTATTTAATGAAATATATTTGGTTTTTTATTTTGTTGCCTTCGATTTAAGAAACCTTCTGGAATGTTAAAATCGCTCTACTGAAAAACATACATTTTGGAGTTAACATATGTCTCCCAAACACCACAGATATATATATATATATATATATATATATATATATATATATATATATATATATATATATATTACATCCGTAATTATTATTCAAATATCACTTTATTCAAATTCACTCTTATGTCATAATAACATACACAATTTAGTGAATATTTGGTTGCCTATGCACATGGCTCACTTAAATATATCTAAAATATTATAATTATTAAATTAAATCAATATAAGTTTGAATTTCAATGACTCAAAGTTCAATTATTAAATGAAAAAAATAAATTGATTTAAATATCAAGTGGCCATTCTTGAGAATGTAGTCTATTTGGCCCACAAGTCAAAGAAAATTCTTTGACTTACTGTCACGGTGTCAAGCTTTCGAATTTGTTTTCAATTCGTTTTTAAGACACCTGTTGATAACAAATAAATACAAAAATAAATTAGTCCAGTCTATTGATTTTTTAGATGTTGAGATGTCGATATAAAATTAGATTATGCTGTTATGCCAATTGTTTATTGATATGTTAATATGTGTGATTTAGATTGAAATCAATCCAACATAAGTATGACATATACATATATATATATATATATATATATATATATATATATATATATATATATATATATATATATATTAACGATATAATTTTGAAATTTTGAGAAACACTTTTTCTTAATTTTAATATATGTATAATTGTGCGTTTTGTAAAGTTAAACATAAATTATGCAAACTTTAAAAGCTTTATTTTTAATGTTGTTTTGATGTGTTTTAATATTGCATTTTGTTTTAGAGGCGAAAATGATGAAAGCTTTGACTGTTTTGGATTATAGCTTTTGCGGTTTATTTTTACTGCGTTATTAGTATTATTATAACGATAGCAAATATGGTGCGTTTAGCGTTAAATCTTATGCTTTCGATTGGCCATGATTAAAGTTTTTATGAAATCCATAAAAAATAAATAGAGGTTCATAAAAAATATTGATTTTCAGTCATTTATCTGAGTAGAAATTTGGCATGAGGAGATAGAATCTGCCTGACCTAAACCCCTTGTGTTCGATTTCTATGGAAGTAAGAATATTGTTCTTTTTTATTTAATACGTTTGTTAGTATTAATATACATAGAGCTCATTATGTTTATAGGGTCTCTGCAATTTAATGATATTTACTTATTTACCTCCCTTTTAAAATATAAAAATCGTCTTGTTCGTACGCCATTTGTTTGGAAATTTATGTTGACAAATATCACTTAATTACGAGCAAAAAGTAACACTCTGGCTATCTCGAGTAATAAGTTGTTGTTTTTAGCACTTAGGTATAGTTTTTGGTCTAAATTCATCATTGCTTTTAGGAAATTTGATCAACTTTCAGCTGAATATCAACTAACAGAGATATTACCTCTTGAAAAAAATTACACAGAACTTCTCGAATTGATTTCCAGAAAAACAGGATGGGCCTCAACAACTTTTGCTGAAGTAGCCACACTGTATAATGAAGTTTTATCTACTTATAAATCGTTTAATCCGTCAGTTTTGCCAGATTGGTTAAGTGAACTTGACATGAACGCCATGGAATATATATCAGGTAAGGCATTTAGAAACTCATTAATTTACATAAGCATAAACATACGACTTGAATGATATAAAGTTACACTCTATGGAATTTATTAGAACCAAACGCTACTTAATTTTTGTCACTCCCGAAGGTACCTTTAAAAAGGTCCTTTTAAAGGTACAATCAATAGAGTAACAGCACTTTATTTAATTAAATTACAACTGACTTTAAAACATAAATTTACAGTATTTATAAGAAATTATTTGATTTTTTTAACTTTATAGCAATTTTATAATAAAAGCATTAAAATGTTTAGTTTCAATGTAAAAAAATAACAAAGTAAATAATAAAAGTAAAGAGAGATACATCATTTATAATAAAATATAATATTAAACTAAAATAAATATCATTTTTATTTTCTTTCTAATGGAAAATTCAATAATATGCTTAACACCTCTTATTTATATTAGCAGTTATTTAACAATTAATTACGCCAACAATAATCCTGTCTGTATGTACTTTATCAATATCTCTGTTTTTTTCATCTTATCGTTGAATTTGAAATAATCCAAAAATTGCATAAAATTCGACATTCGTTCATAAAATTATTTGATGACGACCTGTCTGCAATTTGTGTCGAAACTGCTGATGGACTGGACTGTTGGACTGCAATACCGTTGATAATCGGGATTAATGTATCGTAATTTCTCCACCCCATGAGAAAGTTTTGTGAGGAATGAACAAAATTTTGTGTACTCGGTGACTGTTGGCTTTGGTCAGGAATGTCTTCTGCTGTGGTTGGATTCTGCTCATATTTTTTTTTTAGTTTACGTAGCTTGAGAAACACAAAAATTTAAAGGACCGTTACCAGAATAATATATGGGTGGTATCCATATGTAGTTGTGTGGTCCATTTGTGTTAGGAGGATGGACTGAAATCTTTCTTTTTCCTATGTTAACTTGTTTAGTTTGTCTAAAGGAATTCTGTCTAATTTTAGGGGTTTGACTATTCGGTGTTCCTTTGTAATAGTGGTAACCTTGACCTTTGGTAATGTTAGTAGTTTTTATTTAATTTTTGTTTTGGAATTCGTGTAAACTTGATTACTGGTTCGTAGTTTATATCTGGCGGTAACTCAATTGGATTGGTCCCTTCGGCTAGTTCTATTTTAGTGGTGGTGCAATAGGTAGATACTTTCGCAGGCTTTGTAGTGAAATGTAGTGTGTATCCGATACTTTTTGGATTATTGTTGTAGTAACAGTGACAGGGCATTTTGGCATTGGGCAACATCATTGAGTAACTTAAAAATTAATAAAAAATAATAACATTAGTCTAGTCATTTAACTTAATAAACTCAATAAATTTGGATTTGCTTCTTTTACATAGTGGATCCATATATTAAAAAAGGTCCGAGTTGTAGACTCGGTATGGATCTGGTGGAATGATTATTGTGTGATAATTAGTTGGAAGTAAGTATAAATGGAAGTTCGTGAACGACTTCTAATGAAAGACAAGAAAATGTAAAGTAAAAACAAGGGTGTGATTCACGTAGTAATCATCAAGGTTTATGATTTCATAGTATTTGGTTAAGTCTTCTTGAATATAGGGAATCTGTGATGCAGAGTGATGTTCAAGCATTTTATGTAGGTACGGTCCATTTTATTTCTTCGTATTTGACGAGACCGTTATGTAAAGTTTAGATTATTGCAAATGTAATTATTGTTTGTAGATCATCCAGTATTTGTATAATTGTTTGTAAATTTAGATTTATCTGGTCAAAGATATTTCGAACTTGCATATAATAATTATAATTGAAAACAAATTGCTTCATCTCTAAGTTAATTTTATTTTTCTTTTCACCTATGATTTGTTGATTGTGTAAGTCATGAAATTTTAGTTAAAATCGGTCAATATTTTCTTACTGAGACTGAGTTTGCTATTGATGTTGGTAATAATATTTTGTTGCTTATTTTTAAGTAATTTAATGGCAGCGTTGTATTTTCCAGCATCTACTTGATCTAGATTACCAGAAATAGATTTTGTTACACTTCCCATTCCGTTTATAAATCTTCTTTTGCTTCTGGATATAAATTGTGTCTAGTTTCTCTTTTGCTGTTGGTTTTTTAAAGTTTTGAAGGCTATTAAAACATGGTTGACCGAGTCCATTTTCTATTGCTCAGTGGGTAGTAATGTACTAAAATTCTATGGATTTAATTTCTTATGCGATGGGCTCTAGATAAAAATAGTTGATGCGATCATAAGTGCTGGTCTTTATCCTGGCTTGTCCAAGTTTCACTGGGAGGATTTCTGGAATGTCATATTCTTCTTGTATATCGACGTATCTTGAGCATCTATTATCACCGGATTGTTATTTTTCACAATCAGGGAAGAAAATCTCGAAAGAAGTTTTACTAGTGTAAAATTTTGTGCTGGGTTGATAAATGATTTATGTTAGTGTTTTTTATTTATTTTTTCGATATTTTTTTGTCCGGTTTCTTGTAGCTTTTTGTTTATTTCACTGTAGATATTTTTTGTCTTTAATCTGTGGTTCTTTGTATAGTTATTTATTGGGTTTCCATTAATATCGATGTCAAATGAATATTAAGAATCGATATACATATTGAGAATTTCTATTGGCTTTTGTTTAGTTGATGAATGAATGGAGTTGTTATATCCCAAAATATCATATAACATATGTTCTTTAATACCCAGTGTCTTCCTTTTTTCTCTAAGTATTGGTGTTTCAAAGTTGTAGATTAAAAACGTTCCATCACTTTATTCGATTGTGGATTATCTGGTGTTGTGTAGTGAATCAAAATTTCGTGTGTATCGACAAATTCCTGAATAAAGCCGTTCTTGAATTCGGTTTCTCTATCTGCGATTATCATGTGAAGCAGTATATGCTTGGTTATAAAGAGCACGAGGGCATTAAGGACATTTATCGCGATGAATCCTTCTATGGGATATGCTTGGGCATATTTTAAGAATGCATCAATTATTGTAAGAAATTTTTATTGGTTAGCTTGGAATGTGTCGATGTGAATGATGTCTAATGGTTTCGTTGGAGTTGGTGTTACCATATATTTTGGCTTAATTGGATTTCTGTCATACTTGTTAGCTTGGCGTGTATCACAAAGGTTGATAACTTCTTCGATATCTTTTTTTAACGTAGGCCAGTAGTAGCTTTTTTTTATTTGAGCTTCGGTTTCATTAATTCCTCTGTGGTTAGTCTTCTTTTGATGGTAGTTCTCTATAATTTCTTTTTGTCTTTTTGTGCTATTTATATTTTCTAGAAGGCTGTTATATTTGACAAAATCAAATGATAGATATTTTAAAGTTTCTCGTGAAATATTGCATAGGGATTTGCAGAGTTTATCATTCTTGAAAAGAATGACGTAGTTCTTTTTCAGATCTATATAGTTAACAGTTTAGTGGTTTCTCGTTTATTGGAATTCCCATTGTTATCTTCTTGTAAGTATTGGAAGTTTGATGACTAGTCTTTAAATTTTTCTGTTTGCTGTTTTTATGTAGGATTTTTTCAATTGTCTAAATCTAAATTTTTTCGGGAGTTAACGTTACAATTTGCTTTTTTGGATATTTTGTTTAAGTGGCCTAAATGGGTTGACGGATTAAATAAGGAACTAGGGTGAGTGATCATAAATATATCATCGTCATCTTCTTTTAAAAGAAATTTTATTATTTATTATATTTTCTCATCTACACTGTTTAATTCTTTCATATTAATTTTGACACGATACGACACATAAAGCAACTGCAATTTTTTTAATATTAATCTTCATCTGACAAGCTTTGAGCTTGGGTTTGTAAGTGAAAATAGCCATTAAACTTGTAGTAATTAACGGTAGGATAAAATTTTGAATTTTCTTTCGAAAAGGTATTGACGGAAGTATTTTTAAGCCCACACAATTGCTAACATCTCCTTTTCGATAGTCGACTATTTCAGTTCAGTTTCATTTAAAGTTCTGGATGCATAGGTAATGGGTTTATCGTTTCTTATTCCATCTTGCGATAGGATGGCTCCTATAGCAAAGTTGCTTGTATCAGTTGTAAGGTTGAAGGGTTGAGTGACGTCTGGATATTGCAGAAGTGGTTCATTAATTAATAAGCTTTTACAGGTCTTAATACAGTTTAACAATTCTTTGGTGTGTTTAATTTTTGCATTCTTTTTAGGACATATGGTAAGTGGTTTTGTAATTTTGGCAAAGTCCTTTATGAATTTTTTATAGTAAACAAGAAATCCTAAAAATCCTCGAATTTCTTTTACTATTTTTGGTATGGGATAGATAGTCTATGATGGCTCTCCATCAATTTCCATCTGACAAGCTTTGAGTTAGGGTTTTTCTTTTTAGGGTATATGTCCGTTCCAAACGTTGGCGATCATTCTGGCTATGATGACTTTGGTGGCTGCTATACGAAATAGCTGTGTTGATGTCTTTCTATATCACGCTCTTAGGTTAACAAGCCAGGATATTCTTCTTCGTCCTGGGGCCCTTTTTCATCTTATCTCATCATATTCATTTCATGTCTTGTTTAGTCTAGTTTAGTGTTTAGTTTGTAGCAATGTATATTTATGACTAATTCTATACAAACCATATTTGTCAAAAATAAAATAAAGAATTTAATTTAATATGTCCCAAGTACTGCAGCTTACGGCCCTTCACGATGTTGACCAGATCTACAGTGGTGTTCATTCTCCGCAGTACTTCTTCATTGGTCACTTTGTCTGTCCATGGTATCTTCAAGATCCTTCTGTTAGAACCTTTTGCTTCTGGTTTTTTAGACAATGGTACAAACTCCGATTTGAGCCACTCTACAGGTATTTTTCCTGCCTTGGTATTTCATTAAATATTTCAGTTATTATTTTTTTTTTGTTCTTCATCTAATAGCTTTAACAGTTCTGCAGGAATTTCATCAAGTCCCGGTGACTTTTCATCATTCATTTGTCTGAAGTGTGCCATTATTTCTTCTGGTAGGATTTGGGGATCTGAGTTTTCTTCAATGGTGAGCTCTTG